TTCTTATATTAGTGGTTGCTTTAGTATTAACAGTATACATCTTTAACTTATCACAGTATACCTTCAAGTGATGTTATACTGTTTCTTGTGTGGTGTAAAAACATTACAATAATATACTTCGATTTCTTTCTCCCAGACTTTGTGCTGCTGTAGTTATATGTGTATGTTATAAACCCCTTATTCTATTATTATTATCATTATTGTTTAATCTTTTATAGAGATTTAAACAATTAGAAAAAAATTATATTCTTCCATGCAGTTACTTTTTCTAGTGGTCTTCATTTTTTTGTGTAGATTCATATTTTCATCTGGCATTAGCTTTTTTTTTTCTCCCTGAAGGACTACCTTTTAACTGTTCTTGTAGTGCAGGTCTTCTCATGATGAATTCCTTTGTCTTTTTTTGCCTGAAAATGTCTGTACTTTCTTATTTTTTTCCAACAAATCAGTACAGATCCTTCTTATTTTTGAAAGATGTTTTTAGTGGCTATGGCAAACCTAGGTTGACAGGGTTTGTTTTCATTTTTTTCTTTGAAGTATGTGTGGAATTTGTTGTGCATATTGAATCTGTGGGTTTGTAATTTTTGCCAAATTTGGAGAAAGTTCAGATATTACTTTCCTTTTTTTCCTTCCCACTTCCTTCATGGACTCCATTTATACCTATATTAGGCCACTTGAAATTGACCTGCAGCTTACTCATGCTGTTTATTTTTCTGTTTTCTCTGTCTTTTTTATTTTGAATATTTCCTGTTGCATTGTCTTCAAATTTGTTAATCATTTCTACTATAATGTGTAATCTCCCATTAATTCCATTCAGTGTGCTTTTCTTTTTTAAAGTTATTTTTAATTGATGTGTAACATGTAATAATTATACATATTTAGAGGTACTGAGTGATATTTCAATACATGTATACAGTGTGTAGTGAGCAAATCAGGGTGATTAGTATATCTATCACCTCAAACATTGATCTTTTTTTTTTTAATTATTTTTTGTTATTATACTTTAAGTTCTAGGGTACATATGTATACTTGTGCCATGTTGCTGTGCTGCACCCATCAAATTTTAAAAAAATGTCGGGAACATTCAAAGTTCTGTCTTCTAACCATTTGATAATATATAGTAAGTTATTGTTAACTATAGTCATTTTAAAGGGCCATTTAGTATACTTTTTATCTCACATGTAAACATTTTTATCTCTGGAAGCTTGATTTGCATCTTTTTAATCCTGTGTGTCTCTACATTTCTTTTTGGAGGGCTATGGTTATAGTGACTTTTTAATATTTTTATTTCTCATTCTAACATATGTGTCAGTTCACGTTTTATTTCACTTGATTTTTTTTCCTCATGGGTTATATGTTCTCACTTCTTTGCATGCCTGATAATTTTTGATTGGATGCTATACATGGTAAACTTTACTTCATTTGTGTGTTTGATATTTCTTATACTTACAAATATTCTTGAGCTTTGCTTTAGGATTTAGCTATATGGAAACAGTGTGGTCCTTTTGGTCTTGATGTTAAAATTTGTTAGGGGAACTGGAACAGTGCTCAGTCTAGTTGTAATTATTTCCCATTTTAGAGTCTTCTAATTCTCTTCCCAATGCCCTAAAAATTATTAGGCTTTCCAGTCTGAACTAGTGGGAACAGAACTTATTCCTGGCCCTGTATGAGTGCTGGGCACTATTTCCTCTAATCCTTTGAGTTGGTTTTTTCCCCAGCTTTTCATAGTGTCCTCACATGTGTGACTGGTATCCAGCTCAGTACTCAAGGAGGACTCTGCAAATTTCTGAGGTTTTCTCTCTGTGTTACTTTTCCCTTAGAACTCTAGCCATCTCTTATCCCAGTGTCTCAGCTCCATGTCTTTCACTCACAGTCCACTGGGTTCTGCTTGTGTTTTCCCTTTCTGTGTTTACTTTGCAAATGCTCTCAAGATAATAATTTGGGACAATTGTTGGGCCTATCTCATTTGCTTTCCATTTTTCAGTGATTGCTCTCCTTCATTGCCTCATGTGCCGTGTCTTGCAGACTATTGTTTCATATATTCTGTTTGGTTTCTTGGGTTGTTTCAGACAGGAGTATAAACTCAGCCCTTGTTATTCTATCTTGACTGGAAATAGGTATTAGGGCTAATCTAGTCTTCATGTCCTTACCTATCCTTAGTTCATGAATCCCAAATGCTTCAATGCAGCCTGAAGCAGAGCTTTCCCCTCTGAACTTGCTCATCCTCATTTTCTTTTGTACATATTAACTGTTTTTGCCTTTAGAGTGCTTTCTTAATCTAAAAGTATTGAATTAAATATAGTAGGACATAATTTGTCTTCCATGACATCTGATTTTGAAGGTCTGATTCAGGGTTCGGTCTATGTGGGAATTAAAAGAAAATATGAAAGTGTATTATGACACCTTTTGAATTCGTTTAAAATCTAAGTGTTTTAGAAATGAAGCCAATATTTTAGCAGTGTCTAGTCTTTCAGCTACAGAGATGTCTGGTGAAAACGCTTTTTTAATTAGTCAGTCTGCTTGGCCCTTACTCACACTGAACATTTAGCTTGTATTTGTCTTACTCGTAGTTGTGCTTGTACCTTGTCCATTAAATTACCAGAGTCACATTTAGATAATGTGCTTTCTTATAGTTTGAAAATGATGAAAACTTGGCCGCCAGAAAATTTGAACAGCTATTTTTTCTATATATGATCTTTGTTCTATTTAGTGTGGATTCCTTTTTTTTCCTACTTTAGAAAACAAGCCAGAAATTCCAGTATTCCTACTCTAACGATTTTTTAAAAACATGAGTGCAGTAGGATCTTTTGATTTGTTCTGTTTGAAAGAAAAGATTTTGTTCTATTGATGCAGCTGTACTCTGATTTTTTTTTTCACTAGAATGAAGGTGGGAGTAGAATTTTTCTCTGTAGGTTTATGAGAAACAAATAACTGATAAAGGCTGTTAGGTTGCCTTTATTTCCCTAGAAGTAACTTTCAGGATAAATACAAAGTCAACTTTATCTTCTGTCCTTGTAGTCTGTTATAGCAAGGTGATGACTGATTTTTGTAATGAAAGAAACCACCAAAATAACAAAAAATATTAAAGCTAATAAAATCAACCAAAGAGATGACCCAGAGACACCGAAAGATTTTGCTTTCTGAATCACCAAGATTAAATTTTAACTCATATGGTTTTGCTAAAGGAGACCAGTATAATATTATGAAAGGGGCACTGGAATGAATCAAAAGGCTTAGGTTATAGTGTTATTAGCATTTCTACTAAATACTATGTGACCCTGAGCAAGTCTTGCAGTTCTGAACTTTAATATCCTCATCTGTCATAACTAAATAAACCAACATTTCTTGAGTAATTATGTTGTGCCAGGTACATTGCTGGTCAGCTTACTTATTATACTTCATTTAATTCACCTATTAACCTTAGAAAATAAATAGAATCTACATTTTACAAATGAGAAACCTAAGTTTCCAGAATATTAAGTATCATTCAAAATGTCAAGCAATAAGCATTAGCCAACAATTTTACTTTAAAGCCATGAAGTTCCTTCTGTTTCTAAAAAGTACTTTAATATTTTTAAACCATAGTGTATGCTAACATAGCAAATTTTCAAATTGCTTAAACCATAGTATATGCTAACATAGTAAATTTCCAAATTGCCTTAGGTCTGGCTTTATTACTTTTATTACCATCAGTTTTCTTATTTGCAAAATGTACTCTAATTATTGAAATTTTATCTATTTGTCAGGAGCTGGACACTAGTGATACACTAGTGGCCACTCTATAGCAATGTCTTTTTTCTTTGAGATCCTAAAGCATTTATTATCTAATACCCATTTAGTAGTTACGTATTTGGGAACTGTTTAGTAGTTTTATATTTGGAAGTTGGGATAACTCTTGAATTGTTTAAAGTTCTGCATGTTCATCTATTACTGCTACACTTAGAAAACAAGCTCCTGAGGAAGCTTCTTTCTGTTGGCATTTAACATAGCATTGTACATATAGTATGTGTAACTTAATACATAATTGTGTTAAAATATTCTGTAAACTGGACTATTTTAATCAACATTCTGAGTTTTTCACTTCTGGTGGAGAAGTTTATTATATATAAGATATTTTTAAGTTTTTAAAAATTCTGTGACTTTATGTAGTCAGAGTAGGTAGGTTTGTTAGGTTTTTCAGAGAAATACTTTCCTTTTTTTTTTCCCCTGAGACAGAGTCTTGCTCTGTCCCCCAGGCGGGAGTGCAGTGGCGTGATCTCGGCTCACTGCAACCTCTGTCTCCCAGACGATTCTTGTGCCCCAGGCTCTTGAGTAGCTGAGATTACAGGTGTGTGCCACCACACCCAGCTAATTTTTGTATTTTTAGTAGAGACAGGGTTTTGCCATGTTGGCCAGACTGGTCTCGAACTCCTGACCTCAAGCGATTCATCCACATTGACTTCCCAAAGCTTTGGGATTACAGGCATGATTCACTGCGCCTGGCTGAGAAATGCTTTTCAGAAAAACTTTAAAAAAAAATCATAGTGTTTTGAAAAGACTCAACTCAAAGTTGGTTGATTGAAGTTAGCATGTAGACTTATTTTGTTTGGCAGGGAGACTAATTTATTTGCCCCATTCCTCAGTTTTTTAAGAGTTCCAGAAGCTCTTGCCTTCTCTTTTCCCCCACAATGAAGGAAATCAAAAGAACATTTGAGTAACATTTAAGATATCTGGGTGATCTACTACTATTACTACAACTTCTACTAACTCATATGTTAGTTAACCTTTCTAAGCTTTAGTTTTCTCGTTCAGAAAAAACTGAGTTCAACTATGCAGTCTTCAAAGACACATTCCAGAATTTTTAAAGCCTACAAGTTTGAAGTAAATTAGGTTTCAGAATTAGAAAGTAGCATTTCATTTTTGCACTTCAATATATTAGTTTTATGTTACTCGGGTTTTTCTTTTAAAATGTTTGCAATCTTACGTTCTGCTTTTATGGTTAATTTTCCTTTCTAACTTATCAGTACATCCTCGCGTATTGCTAAGGGAGGAGTCGACCACACCAAAATGAGTCTACATGGTGCTAGTGGGGGTCATGAGAGATCAAGAGATAGACGAAGGTCAAGTGACAGATCACGAGATTCATCTCATGAAAGAACAGAGTCTCAACTCACTCCTTGTATTAGAAATGTGACTTCTCCAACACGACAGCACCATGTTGGTATGTGAAATCAACTAACCTTCCTAACAGTTCTTAAAAACATGCATTTACCTTTTTAAAGTAGTAATGACATTGAATTGTGCCTAATACAGCAGAGTGTAATTAGCTTCTTCTATTCAGTTGTTTCTGTTTTAGTTGAGCTTGGTTCTTGCTGTGAAAGAAAAAACAGCTTATTAAATGCAAAGTGAACGTGAATTTTTTAACCTCCGGTACAGTCTTATAAAATAAGTAATTTGAAAAGCCTTTGAAACTGTGATATATAGATTTTCAAAGTTCTCAAGTTAATTTTTGTCTTATGAAATATATAGCAATAGTTTGTAGTAAATTATTGATAGGAGTTTAGTTATTATCATGCTAACAAAGGACCTGAAAGGTAGAATAGCCATTATGTTATTTATTCTGATTTTTGACAATATCTCAAATTTAGTAATAAAAATAGATGAAAGGTGTGATGTGTTTTACTTTGTTAGTAACTAGCTCAGGTCTTTCCCTTCCTTCCTATTCATTATTATAAATGACCGTTGTTATCCCAGGTGAACACATGGTGTGACTATAAAACACCAGCTGAAGAAGAGGTACCTTAGCATGTGAGCTTGCTGATTTTTATTTTCTCCCGCAGAAGGGACAAATTAAAACTTTGACTTACTATATGCAGCAGTAGTTTCTGATAATCTGTTGTAAATAAGAATCATTAATATTAGGGTCTAATTATGAGAGAAGTTGTCAATGTTTCAGTTGATCCTTGAAGTCAAACTAGCACTTACAAGCCAGACAGCAACAAAAGTATAAATTAGAGTTGACAGTTTGTTACATGAAAAAGTCAGTATCTGGGAGTAGAATAGCAGGATATGATACATTATTTCATTAATACTGCTTTAGCAAATTTTGCTTTTGGGATGCTACCAGTATTGTAGAATCAGGCAATAAAAGGGAGGCGTCAGAGTATCTCTGGAGATATGTCAAACCTAATTATATAATCAATAATGCTGTACAGAGTGTTCTAAGTAGTTTGAGTCATAGAGGAATTTGGCAAAAGCTGATGAAACTGATGAGATGGAGGTACATTTTTAGGTCACCTTTAAAGTTTAGCGATCTAGTCTCTAAGTGAAACATATCACAGAATCTTAGTTTTTATTTCAGACTATAATTATAGATCATAAAATTTGTAGCAGTGCTTTATTCAACAAACTTGAGAATGAGAAGAAAACAATATATCATGAGCTACTAAAGCCACTTTATTTGGTAGACATAAAAATCATTAAAAATAAATAAATACTTCTTACTGCCCTTAGTGAATTTCTTTCTTTTTTGTGGGGGATGGGGGCCTTCTTTTTTTGAGATAAGTTGCTGGTTTTAGAATGCCCTTATTAACATGGTGAGATTCTAAAGATTGTACTTTGTGTTCTCAGAATAGTGTTATCCCTTTTAGTAATTAGGACAGCTTAAATTGGTATTCTTATTAATCTTTTACTGTAATAACTTTCAAAGCATATTTATTTTACTTGTGAGAATATTCGGTTCCTTGGGTTTCTATTTTTAAGTGGAGTAAAAATAATTTTCCTTAATCTTGATGTTAGTTTGGGTTAGCATTAGTCAGCTATACATCTTTTTTAAAAGTCTACAACTAAAGATTTTAGAAAGCATTTTGATGTTTTGGGTTTTATTCCTGGAACTAAATGAATGTTTATGGTGTTCTGTTAACATGTTATTTGAAACTGAAAAGTAGAAATGCTGTGACTTAAAACAACTTTTATAAATCAAACATTTAAAAAGATATATATATATAGATCTTGAATTTTTAAAAGAAAATTTCCTAACTTTGTCTAACATCTTTATTTCAGAACGAGAAAAAGATCACAGTTCCTCTCGTCCAAGCAGTCCGCGTCCTCAAAAAGCATCCCCAAATGGTTCCATTAGCAGTGCTGGGACCAGCAGCAGAAACAGTAGTCAGTCAAGTTCAGATGGTAGCTGTAAAACATCTGGGGAGATGGTGTTTGTATATGAAAATGCAAAAGAGGGAGCTCGGAATATAAGAACGTCAGAACGAGTGACACTAATAGTGGATAACACTAGATTTGTTGTAGACCCATCCATTTTTACTGCACAGCCAAATACAATGTTGGGCAGGTTTGTATTATTGCAGTTATTTGCATTACTAATTATAAGGTGCTTTTACCGCCATTATTTTTTCGTTTAAGTTTTACAGTAATTCTCTGTTGAAATGCAACATTTCTGTTTTACAGATGAAAGAACTGAGCTTTGGAGGCTAAATTACTTGTCCCAAGTTAATATAGCTAGAAAGTGATAGAGTAAGAACTTGAACTTGGTTTTATTTCTAGTGTTCTTTGTAGTACCAGTAGAAAATAGCAAATATATTAGTTATTGAAGTCAGGATACTAAAATGTCTTTACGTATTGAGACTGTAAGTTTAATCTAACCAGGTGAATTTAGCAATGATAATATGTTTCCTGCACTTGAGTTCCCATTGAATCACAAAATACAAACAATCAGCATTGTTTAAAGGCAGAAAAAAAAAAACCAATAGGTTGTTTAGCTGTAAAGTCAGCATGAATTGTCGGTTTGATGTAGATACTTAAAAAAAAAATAAAAAAGGAATGTCAACAAGTAGTTAGCAAAATGAAGGAAATAATTGTCATCTTCTGATTTGTGCTGGTCCAGAGTAGTAGATCTATTTAAAGTTTGCAGTTACGGGAACCACAGTCTAAGAAGGATATAGACAATAGAGACTTGATTTTTCCCCATGTCCAAACTATACCTTTTAATTGTAAAATCAGTATCTTTGGTTACACTACTATCAAGTGAAAGGGCATGTGCATGAAATAGAAATTTATATGAGATAAAAACTTGTACTTTACTAGATTGCATATGCAGTATGTGTGTGTGTGTGTGTGTGATTTATCATTGTCTCATAATACAGAATAAATGCTGCCGTTGTGATATTGTATACATTTTTGAGTAACTAAATATTTTCCTTCAATGTTAACACTATGCTTTATATCATGAAAAAAATATCTTTGAACTATAGGCTTTTTTGTGTTTTTAGTGTTGTAGGGGAGGATTATCGACAAATTATCAGGAATATGACTTGACACTGTTAATAATACTTTATATTTTTACATCAGATATATAGAAAGAATAAAAAGTACATATTTGAAATTTTGGCTGTTGTATTTTCTTAAAAAAAAAAAGGTTTTTAAGTGTTCATATTGATGTGAAAAGAGTAGCTTTCCCCTTTTGTAAAAAGTTTAAATCATGACATTTGATTCCTGAAAGACTATCTTCTTTTTCTTCTTTTTCAATTAGCAAAGCCTTCTTTTTATGCCGATTGACTAAAGTGTGTCTTTGGGGATGAAAATTAATATTCATGGGAACTGTAAAAAGCAGTTGGCATTCTTTTGGAAACTTTGACATAAAAAAGCTTTGTTGTTCATAGTTTTCTGTGTTACAACGAAAGAGAAAACTATTTGAATTAGGAAACTATTAAGTAGAATACTTAATTCAACCGTACCATAGGATCTAGAGGTTCACCTTTCTTTAATCATGATTTTTATATTTTCTGGAGAGTACTAGAGTACATTTTTTATTGTTAAGGACATATTTTGGAAATTGCACTGTTGAAGGGCCAACAAACATGACTTGAAAAAAACATAAAGTCATTTGTATTTTCTTATGTAAGAGCTTTTTTTAAATTTTCTTAAACTTGCCATTGTCCTATTTCTTAATTCCTGTCTATCCCAGCATTTGATTGCTTGTTTTTCAGTTCCAGGATGCAAGTCTAATAATTTTGAGTAGGATTTGTTACATTTATAGTTAAGATTGTGAAATGTAAAACAACCTGACTTGTCCTGTATCATATCACTTTGTCTCAGGTTAGCCTGCTATTATGTGCTGCATTATGGCATTAACTGTACAATGAAAACAGCAGTTTTAAGGAAAAAGCACAGATAACATGGTTTCCCTTTTTTTTTTTTCTTCCTGATAAGATTAGTATTAAAAACTCACCTTTTTCCCTTGATTAATTGATTGGTGTTGTTTTCTGAGGAGAAGTGGTAGGAAAGCTCTTTAGCTTCTGAATTTTGTTGTTTTATTTTATTGTTGCTTAGAGAAAATCTATACTAGTGTTCCCTACCATCAAAAACAAAATGTTTTTAATATTCCTTCTTTTATGATGTTTGCCAGAATACATTAATGATAAAAATTCTTGACTAATTTAATGATATAATTCCTTTTTACATTTGTACATGAAATCTATTTTCCCTTTTGAAGGAAGTATTCTATTGACATATTTCTCAATTATTTACTATCATAGGATGTTTGGATCTGGCCGAGAACATAACTTTACACGACCTAATGAGAAAGGAGAGTATGAGGTGGCAGAGGGAATTGGTTCCACTGTGTTTCGAGCTATTCTGGTGAGTATTGACTTAATCATAAGACCCCTTCTTAGTAGGTACTTGGATTAGAAGCAGAATTCTATTTGAATATCTCTCTGGAGTTATTCCAGGATATTGTTTTTCCTTAAATACCATTTAATTCATCTTTATTTTATTTTGTTTATATTTTTATTTTGCAATAGGGTCTTCTTGCTCTTTCACCCAGGCTGGATGGAGTGCAGTGGCACAATCATAGCTCACTGTAGCCTCAACCTCCCGGGCTCAAACAATCCTCCTGCCACACATTCCTGAGTAGCTGGGACTACAGGCACGCACCACGATGCCTGGCTAATTCTTTTTGTTTTCCTTTTTTATAGAGACGAGGTCTCACAGTGTTACCTAGGCTGTTCTCAAACTCCAGGGCTCAAGTGATCCTCCCGCCTTGGCCTCCCAGTGCTGGGATTGCAGGCATTGAGCCACCATGCCGTGTTCTCATCTTTATTTTAGTACATACAGATAATATAATAGAAGCAAATGAATTTTATGACCTTCAGGATGATAGGATAGGGGATTTTTAATCTCTTAGGTTTGCATATGCAGTTCTTTCAGGTATTTAGTAACATTTCTGGAGTCATATTTACTTCTCTTTCTCTTAAATGCAGTAAATCGATCATTTTTACTATCTGAGAATGAATATGATTACTACTTGATTCTATTATTTTATTGCACATAACTAGCAAACTTAGAAACATTAAAAGTCATCTCCAAAATGTATTTGTTAACATCTTTGGTTTTTTGTTTTTTTCCCCAGACAGGGTCTCACTCTGTTGCCAAGGCTGCAGTGCAGTAGAGTGATCACGGCTAACTGGAGCCTCGACCTTCTGGGTTTAAGTGATCATCCCACCTCAGCCTCCCTAGTAGCTGGGACTATAGGCATGTGCTACCACACCCAGCTAATTTTTTGTATTTCTAGTAGAGATGAGGTTTCACCATGTTGTCCAGGCTGATCTTGAACTCCTGAGCTCAAGCAGTCCTCTTGCCTTGGCCTCCCAAAGTGCTAGAATTACAGGTGTGAGCCACTGTGCCCAGCCGATGTCTTTGTTTTAAATTTTTTTTTGAGGTTTTAACCGGTCTTTTTTTTTTTTTAATATTTTAATTTATCATACAGAGCCCCTACTTGTAATTTAAATTCAGTGATTTTGGCTCATAAGGCTGGATGCAGTGGTTCATGCCCATAATCCCAGCACGCTAAGAGACCAAGACAGGTGGATGGCTTGAGTCCAGGATTTCAAGACCAACTTGGGCAACATGGCAAAACCCCATCTCTACCAAAAGAATATATGCAAAAATTAGCTGGGCGTAGTGGCACGCCTGTAGTTCCAGGTACTTGGGATGTGACGGTTACTACGGGACTGAATGAAGGGGGATGAATGCAGGGATGAAAAGAAAGACAACATAATCTGATTTAAAGAAGGGGCTGGGGGCTCCTTGTTTCTAGTGAGCAAGGACCTTGAGCTTCCACAGCCCTTTGTATTTACTGGGGACAAAGAACCGGGAGAAGGCGCTGTTGGTTAGCTGCTTGATTTATCACAGGTTCACATGATTGCTAACAGACTTCAGTTGTGCGTAGACAATCACAAGAAACACTGCATCTGGGGCGTGACTGTCCTCAGCATTAGTTCTGGGCGGCAGATGCAGTTTCAGTTTGCCAGCAACCTGCTTTCATGAGAACAGTTTGCTGTTTGCTCATATAGCCTCCAGTGTATACTGAGTCGGTCACTGCCCTCATTCTTTCGGCCTCCAACACTTGGGAGGCTGAGGTGGGAAGATCTTTTGCGCCAGGAGGCGAAGGTTGCAGTGAGCTGAGATCACACCATTGCACTCCAGCCTAGATAACAAAGTGAAAACCTGTCTCAAAAAAAAAAGAAAAAAAAAGGTTTGATAGTTTGTGACAGTTTGTGCCACAGCCTGAAAATACCGTTTTCTTAAGTAGTTTGAGTGAAGGGAGGATTCTGTGATGGAAGACAGATCGGGAAAGTAGTTGATCTTGATCAGGTGAATATTCATACAAGTACCAGAAGATGTTTCACTTCCATTGAAGCAGCAACCTTAGAAATTGTGTTACTGGTTACTTTGGTTCTGAACCTCAGGAAACTTGAGACAGATCTTTTTGTTTGTTTGTTTGAGATGGAGGCTCGCTCTGTCGCCCAGGCTGGAGTGGAGTGGTGCGATCTTGGTTCACTGCAACCTCTGCCTTCTGAGCTTAAGTGATTTTCCTGCCTCAGCCCTTTGAGTAGCTAGGATTACAGGTGTGCGCCACTATGCCCAGCTAATTTTTGTATTCGTAGTAGAGACAGGGTTTTACCATGTTGGCCAGGCTGGTCTTGAACTTCTGACCTCAGGTGATCTGTTCGCCTCGGCCTCCCAAAGTTCTGAGATTATAGGTGTGAGCCATGGTGCCTGGCCGAGCCAGGTCTTAATTTTGGGGAAAAAGTGCTTTTTTAGCTGTCCATATTTCCCCTTGTGGAATTGAAAAGAATTTTTGTCACTCATCTCTGAAGTAACTTATCTGTGATTCTGGGGTCGTCCTTTAACAACCTGTTACGTAGATTTTCGAAATAATTAGTATTGCTTGTCATCATATGGAATCACCAAAGGGTAGTATTAGAAGAAGAATATCTAATGGTATGTCTTATTTTACATATTTTAATACCTGAATAGGACTATAATTCTGTACTAAAAACCTCAAATTTTGTTAAATTATCTAGGTAGTATTTAAGGTAGCATAATATATCATTCAATTTCCTTACTTTTTTAAAAAAATTTAAAACTTTATGATAGTTTTATAGAAATATAACTTGTAGAAGAAAAATACATATGCATTGGTATAATGCCATAAAGAAGACGTGAATTAGGTAACAGGGAGCCCTACATTCAAATCTTACCTTTGCTTTTAAATAATTGTATGACAGGGTCAGTCGATGAATTCATTTGGACCTGAATTTTCCTTATAGGTAAAATGAAAAAGTAGGTGAACGGAGGTCTCATCTAAGATTAAACTTCCACATTTCAAAGATGTCAGAGTTCTCTACTGTTTCTGAAAATGTTACCAGCTCTACCTTAATAATAAGTTTTGGCTACCTTGTTCTCCAGATATTTTATGCTTTTCTTACTTTTCTTTTTCCAGGATTACTATAAAACAGGAATAATCCGTTGTCCTGATGGCATATCTATTCCTGAACTGAGAGAAGCATGTGACTATCTTTGCATCTCTTTTGAATATAGTACTATTAAATGTAGAGATCTCAGTAAGTATGATGTTTTGTGTGTAAGTGGTTTGTATAATTAGAATATATTGGAACAAAAAGCCTGAAATTAGTGCTATTTACCTAGTTAGACTTAAAGTATTATTTGAATTATGAAGCATTCTAGATTATTAATGAAAGTTTACAAAGACCTTGATAATCTCCTTGTGCAATTTTCCAAATATTTTTTTCAATTTTAATAATTTTCTTTTTTGACAAACCCAGATTTCCTCCTAGACAGTTTTCTATATTATTTATTTGTTACCAGTTTTATCTCCTAGATTTGGATCCTTGGCTTTGGTAAAGTGTGGTCATTTGGCTTCATTTCTTTGATCACATCATCCAAAAATTTATAATTTTTTGTATTACCACATATGATGATATGAGCACTATGGAAAACACAAATAATTCTCAAAAACAATACCTATCATTAAAGATCCTAGATTGAATGTCTATCCCTCATTTATGCATAGGATTAAATGACTTCATCCAAGAACTTCAAATATAGTCTCAAAGCAGTGTGTAGAATGTTGTAATCCCAACTCTGGTTTTCTTCTCTCACCATTTCTTCAGCACCCCTACTCTGATTGTTACGCCAACCCTGAGAAAAGATGTGATTATGCACAAAAAAGTCAAAATAGTGTATGAGAAGTATCAAATGTTGATATTTGATATCAATATTAAGTACCTAGATACTTAAGCCAACACTTAAGTGGTTGGAGAAGTTCAGAGGAAGGGGAAGTCATTGTGGGCTAGAGGACTGTGGAAGAGTTTAGTGGAAATAGGTAGTAAAGAATGAACTGAATGATTTAGAAAGAGTAGATAGTATTGTTTTGGGGAATTATTTGTGTCTTCCGTAGTGCCCAGGATATCATCCTACATGGTAATACAAAAAATTCTAAGACCTGAGGTTTCTGGAGTAAAGATGTAGTAGGTATACAGTAGATCCAACATACAACTGTACATTTGAACAACGTTGCTGAGTTTTTGTTGTTGTTGTTGTTTTTGAGATGGAGTCTCGCTCTGTCACCCAGGCTGGAGTGCAGTGGTGCAATCTCAGCTCACTGCAAACTCCGCCTCCTGAGTTCAAGGGATTCTCCTGCCTTGAAGGGATTCACTCGCCACCACACCTGACTCATTTTTTCGTTTTAACAGAGACAGGGTTTCACTATGTTGGCCACATTGGTCTTGAACTCCTGACCTCAGATGATGCACCCGCCTCGGTCTCCGAAAGTGCTGGGATTACAGGTGTGAGCCACCATGCCTGGCCAAAATTGCTGTTTTTTCACATCTTAAAAAATGATTTTAGGGGCTGGATGCAGTGGCTCACACCTGTAATCCCAGCACTTTGGCAGGCCAAAGCAGGCGGATCATGTGAGGTCGGGAGTTCGAGACCAGCTTGACCAACATGGAGAAACCCCATCTCTACTAAAAATACAAAATTAGCCAGGCGTGGTGGCGCATGCCTGTAATTCCAGCTACTCTGGAGGCTGAGGCAGGAGAATTGCTTGAACCCGGGAGGCAGAGGTTGTGATGAGCCAAGATTGCGCCATTGCATTCCAGCCTGGGCACCAAGAGTGAAACTCCATCTCAAAAAAAAAAAAAAAAAAAAGTTTTAGTTGAAACCATGAGCATTATAGATCTCTGATTTCAAGTTTTGTGTCTTTTCATATGACCATTTAAATTAATCTTTATATAATTTGATGTTGAATTTTGGTGACTGGCAGAGATAGGAAAAAAACTAGAATTTTTTACAGATGATGTGAATCTCTTAGTTCTGCAATCTTTTGTTGTGCATAGTTTACCTTGTCTTAATACTAAGTATCTTTTATTTATACTTAATACTAAGTATCTTTTATGTAAAATATGTGTAATATGATTATCCTAGACTTTTAGCTTTTCAGTAATATTTGTAGTTGTTTTTAGATTACTTGTAATATATGTTACTAAAAATTTAGAGATTCCCAAAGATGTTTATAAAAAAACTATATAGAATTTGAAGAGATGGATATGATCTTTTAAAAATGATCCAAAAGTAAATTTTTTTTTCTTGCTAATATATGCCCTTGCTGAATATTTGGAATGACACTTTGCACTAAAATATCTGGGCTTATGTCTTAATTTAAGAAGAAATTATACAATTTGCTCGCATGTTCTCTCTCTCTGGTTGAGGCACTCTTTTTCAGTTTGTGGCATTAAACTAGTTTGGACTTGAGGGCAGAGACTATATCTTTTTGACTTTGTGTCTATGGTGTGTAGCACATCCTAAGGACTCAACAGAATGTTTGCTGAATTAACAAATTATTGTATTCTCTTGTGTGTTTTTAGGACCCTCTTCCACTGGTTGTCCTCTCTGGTATCATCAGTCTTTCCCTTTCTCTGTGTAGTAAACCTCAGGCTCAAACATACTCAAATCTGACTTATGTCTATTCTAGATGTTCAAAAACATTCTCATTAAAAATAACTCGAACTTTTCATTGGAATCCTTTGAAGTTAACTTTTCAGAAGAATTAACATATAGCTCCAAATGCTGTCTTCCCATTTATTCACACTTTTGTGTCTTTAAGTAGAGTTTTATCATTTTCTTCATATAGCGTGCTCTGGTCTTGTTAATATTTTGTGTTTTTATTATTGCTGTGTGTAGAATATGTTTAACTTTTCAAACTGCTGACTTATAATAAAGTTACTGAATTTTGTACATGTAGCCACCTCATAGAACCCTGTTTGTTTCTAATGATTTTTTACTTGATCTTCCTATATGCCTCATAGTTAATTGACTGTGTTACAAATAACACTTTTTATGTCTTTTTTTTGTCTTGTCAAATTGGCTAGAAGATTTTGAACAATGTTAAGTTTAATGGGAATTCTGGCATCTCTGTCTTTAAAGGCATTTCCCTGGACGTGGGGCTAATGTCTATATTCCCAGCACTTCGAGAGGCTGAGGTGGGGAGGAGCACTTGAGCCCAGGGGTTCAAAATCATCATAGGCAACATAGTGAGACCCTCTCTCAAGAAAAATAAAGTCATTTCTTTTAGGCGTAATTATGTTACTCATTTTTTTCTTGACTCTCCCTTCCTTTGGCTTTTTGGCATCCTTCTTCCTGATCCTTGGAATGTGGTTGTTCTCCTCTGTTAGCTACTTTCTCTCTCACAGAATCTGCACGTATTCTAAGTGGTGCTATTCATCACTGTGGTGTCGAATATTATCTTTATACTGGGGATTTCGACCTTTTATCTTTAATTTCTAAGTGTCAGGTTTAATTTTTTTAAATTTTTATTTCAATTGTTTTTGGGATAGAGGTGGTTTTGGGTTACATGGATAAGTTTTTAGTGGTTATTTCTGAGATTTTGGTGCACTCATCACCCGGACAGCGTACACTGTACTCAGTATGTAGTCTTTTATCCCTCACTTCCTCCCAGCCTTCCCCACCGACTTCCCAGAGTCCACTATATCATTCTTGTGCCTCTGCGTCCTGATCAACTATTCATTTCTAGTTTACCATTTAACTTGTCCTTTTGTCCCCTCTTCCTTCTTAATCAAGCTTTTTATGAGTTTCATGCGTATAGTACCTATAGTAATGAACAAAGACAGACATTGTCCCTGCCTTTATGGAGTTTATAGTCTAGTTGGGAAGACAGACATTTAACAAGTAATAAAAGCTGTGAAAAATGCAGTGAAGAAATGAGATATTATTAGAAGTGTATGACAAAGGGTCTGTAGAGAATCATTATCTAAGTGCCATTAAAGCTGAAACCTGAAGGAGTGGCAAAGAGTGGGGGAAAGCTGACCATACAAGCAGTAGAAATGATATGTGCAGAGGTTTAAGTAGTAAGGAATATGACATATTTAGGGAACTCAAAAAAAGGCACGTGTGGCTAGAGCAGAGGGATGGAGTATGAGTGGTGAGGAATAAGGCCTGAGAGGTAAAGAGGAAACAAAATTTATTAATTGAACAAATATTTAATGGCTCTACTCTGTACTAAGCACTGTTCTAAGTTTTGGGGATTCAGCATGAACAAACCAGGCAAAACTTTCTGTTCTAATGGAACATACACTCTATTGGGAAAAACATGTGATAAACAAAGTAAATAAATCATATATGGTATGTTAGTGATAAGTGCCAAGGAGAAAAAAGTGGAGAAGTTACTTAGAGGAGCCAGAGAAACTTTCATTGGAAATAAAAATTTAAATTCCAAGCAGGGGTTGCTAGTGAATGCACACAATGAAGGAGTTTGTCTCGTATATTTGAGAGCAGCAGAGAGGCCAGGATAGTTGGAGTGGAGTGAGTGAGAGTGTCAGTAATATGAGATGTAGTCAGAGAGGTAACAAAGCACCTAGGTCAAATAAGGCCTTTATGTTTTGGCTTTTACTCTGAGTGAGATTGGAAGATATGGGAGAGGTTTGAACAAAAGAGTGATATGATCTGTAAGACTGTCACATTGTACTATTTCATGGGAGCCCTGTTCACACAGAAGTCCATGTAGAGTTGTTAAGTGTTATAATCCTGACCTGACTTAAGGTTTAAAAGAATCACTTCTGCAAATTTTTGCAATCTACTCAACTGACAAAGGGCTAATATCCAGAACCTACAAAGAACTCAAACAAATTTACAAGAAAAAAACAACCCCATCAAAAAGTGGGCAAAGGATATGAACAGACATTTCTCAAAAGAAGACATTCATACAGCCAACAGACACATGAAAAAATGCTCATCATCACTGGCCATCAGAGAAATGCAAATCAAAACCACAATGAGATACCATATCACACCAGTTAGAATGGCAATCATTCAAAAGTCAGGAAACAACAGGTGCTAGAGAGGATGTGGAGAAATAGGAACGCTTTTACACTGTTGGTGGGATTGTAAACTAGTTCAACCATTATGGAAAACAGTATGGCGATTCCTCAAGGATCTAGAACTAGATGTACCATATGACCCAGCCATCCCATTACTGGGTATATACCCAAAGGATTATAAATCATGCTGCTATAAAGACACATGCACACGTATGTTTATTGCGGCACTATTCACAATAGCGAAGACTTGGAATCAACCCAAATGTCCATCAGTGACAGACTGGATTAAGAAAATGTGGCACATATACACCATGGAATACTATGCAACCATAAAAAAGATGAGTTTGTGTCCTTTGTTAGGGACATGGATGCAGCTGGAAACCATCATTCTTAGCAAACTATCACAAGAACAGAAAACCAAACACCGCATGTTCTCACTCATAGGTGGGAACTGAACAATGAGATCACTTGGACTCGGGAAGGGGAACATCACACACCGGGGCCTATCATGGGGAGGGGGGAAGGGGGAGGGATTGCATTGGGAGTTATACCTGATGTAAATGATGAGTTGATGGGTGCTGACGAGTTGATGGGTGCAGCACAGCAACATGGCACAAGTATACATATGTAACAAACCTGCACGTTATGCACATGTACCCTAGAACTTAAAGTATTATTAAAAAAAAAAAAAAAAAAAGAATCACTTCTGGCTGTTGTGTTAAAAATGGACCAAAAGGGGAATAGTGCTAGAAGCAAAGAGATCAGTTAGGAAACCATGATCAAAGTCCAGGTATGAGATGGTAGGGGCTTGGATTAGAGTGGAAACAGTAAGAACTAGTCAGATTCTGGGTATATTTGATGTTCAGGTTACCAGGATTTCGTCTTCAACTGAATGTGGAGTGGAAAGGAGAGGAGAGCTTTAACTGGAAGTTTGAGGTTGCCATTAATTGAGATGGGGGAGACTTCATGAGGAGCAAAAATCTAAAAGCTTGATTTTGAACATGTTAAGTTTGAAATACCTGTTAGATATCCAAGTAGAACTCTTAAGTGGAGCATTGGGTATACATGTCTAAAGTTCAGCAGAGAAATGTGGGCTAGATGTAAGTGGGAGTCATCAGTATATGGATAATTAAAGAAAATGTATTAAAGGATTGATTCTACACTCTGATCTGTAACATTCTTTTTCACATAGCAGGGCTTTATGTACCAAGTTGAGGATTTGAGACTTATTTTGAGGATAGTATAAGTCATGAGAGGGTTAGACTAGCAGAGACAATTAGATTTGGCTGCTGTGGGGAAAATGAAATGCAGAGAGGCAAAAGCAGATGTTGGGGGAATGTAATCAGAAAGATTTTGTAGTAGTTTGGGTGAGAGTTAATGATGAACAGAACCAGAATGGAGGCAAGGGGATGGAATATGTTGGGTTAACTATTGCTGTGTAATAAACCACCTCAAGTTTAGCATAAACTATAACCATTTTATTACTCTCATTTGTTCCATGGGTCAGGAATTTATACAGGGCACAGCAGAGGTGGCTTATGGCTGTATCACAATATCTGAGGCCTCATCTGTGAAGAATTGATGGGCTGGGGTGGCTCACAAGGCTGGAGGCTTTATTCACATGTCTGGTGCCAGGACTGGGATGACTCAAAGGCTGGACTCAGCTAGGAATGTCAAACAGAATACCTATGTGTAGTCTCTCCATATGACTTGGGCTTCTCAAATCCTGTAGGTTGCATTCAGAAAGGAAGAATTTGAAGAACAAGCATTCCAGAGAAACCAAGGCAGAAATTGAAAGGCTTCTTCTGACTTAGCCTCCAAAGTCATGTGCTGTCCCCTCAGCCATGCTCCTCTGGTTACAAACAAGTTTGTATTACCAGTCTAATTAAAGGGGAGGGGAACTAAATTCCACTTTTTGGGAAGAGATGTCAAGGTCACCTTGCAGAGAAGTATGTGGCTTAGGAGATTTTGCAGCTATCTTTGGTAAATATCTGCCAAAAGAAGGAAATAACACAATTCAAGTATGTTTAAGAAGACTTGGGGAATTATTTGAATTAGGAGGTAAAGGAGAAATCCAGGATTTATTCATTTAGTATACTAATATTTAAGTTCCCATTTTATGCCCAGCACTGTACTGAGATGGTTCTGAAAACTTGGGTGGATAGTGATGCCATTTACTGATTTGAAAAATACTGTGGAGAGAGACAGAGATGGTAAGTTAAATTTTGGATGTATTGAGTTTAGGGTACCTCTGAGGTTACATCCAAGCGGAAATTTCCAGAAAGCAGCTGAATAAAATGCATCTCGAATACAGAAGACTAAATTAGTAGAAATAAATTTGGGAATTATCAGCATAGGATAAAAGAAGAAAAGAACTTAAAATTGTCCTGAGAAATACCAGTATTTAATGAACAGCTGGAGAAGGAAGAGTTGGCAAAGGTTACTGAGGAAGAATAGCCAGGAGGAGGGAAAAAAAACAGGGATAATGGTATCAGAGATTCTTAGGGGTGAGTATGTTTCAAGAAAGAGTGGTCCAGTGTAGGAGATTTAACTGAGAGGTCACATAGGATCAGGACCAAAGATGATTATTGTCTTTGACAATATAAAGGCCATTTGGAGACCATAGCAAGACATTTCTGTAGTATAGTGAGAGTAGAAGCCAGATTGGAATTGGTTCAGAAGCTGGGGAGAGAGAAGGTGTTGAAATATAGGTATTTGTCTATAAAGATAACTTTTTAAAATGACAATGGGAAATAGCCAGCCTGGAGAGAGGATGGCTAAGTAATAGTAATATAGATTATTTAATTATCTAATCAATTATAATAATTATATAGTATTTATTATATAATTATGGAGACATTTTGTAGGGAGGAAAAGCTCTCCCTTGGGAGACTGTAGGTTTGAGTTCTAGTGTACTCCTTCATCCCGTCTCCAGTTCTCCAGTTTTTACAACACACACACACACACACATTCTCTCTCTCACACACACACACACACACACTCTCATGTGTTGCCATGGTTGCTTCTCTGACTTTGCTCTCCATGCTGATGCAGTAGCAGTAGTTCTTGAGATGTTGGCATCTTCAATAGGGAGATAGGACATTGCCAATCAATAGGAATAAAAGAAAAAAGCAGTGCAGGTGAGTTAGTGGCTGTGCATTTAGGAAATTGAAGTTGTTCATTATGTCTGTGCTTAAGGAGGTTGAAGTCTTATCTTTCAGCTCTCTCACTTCTAGTATCAAGTTTGCTGTGGAATTCCTGCATCATGTTGTATTTTGCTTGACCTTTTGCTTGCCTTATTCTAAAGACTGTTGACCCTTTTCACCTCACCTCTCAACTTGCACTGAAATATTAAATTGGTTTGCAACTTTCTGAGAAGCAGAGCATGCAGGAAATGGAATATAAGAACTATTTCAGTTTATGTGGATAACCTGAAAAGTATCTTTAAGATATACCTTAAGACATACTGCGTATACTGATGGAAGATAATATGGTATAGTGAAAAATAGGCTAGGCTAGGGATAGGGTTTTAATTCTGACTTTGCAAATTAGTTTTGTAATATTAGGCAAGTTATTTCATGATGTGTAAAATGACGGGGCCTATGTAGGATGCCTTTAATTGGCCTTTCTTATTATAAGATTCTGTATTTCTAAAAGAAGTCTTTATAGGAAAAGTTTTGGTAAGATATTTTTGTGGATTTCATTTCAGGTGCCCTAATGCATGAGTTATCAAATGATGGTGCTCGTAGACAATTTGAATTTTATTTGGAAGAAATGATCCTCCCTCTCATGGTAGCTAGTGCCCAGAGTGGGGAACGGGAATGTCATATAGTGGTGCTTACAGATGATGATGTGGTTGATTGGGATGAAGAATATCCACCACAGATGGGAGAAGAATATTCACAAAGTAAGTATTCTGGCATGTTTTCTTTCTCCTGAATCATCACAAATTATTTCTTGTGTGTGTAAAGAAAGAGCTCTTCTCATAGACCAGCAAACTATAGCCTGGGGGTCAATCCAACCCATCACCTATTTTTATAAATTAAGTTTTGTGTATTGCCTATGGCTGCTTTCATGCTACAGTGGCAGAGTTGAGTAGTTGCAGCAGAAACTGCATGGCTCGCAATGCCCAAAGTATGTCCCTGTGCAGAAGAATATGCCCCACCCATGCCATACACACATAGTTATTTGTTGACTCTCTGGAACTTGATAGATTTTTTTTCTTTGTATTTAAAAGCATTCAGGAGAACTAGTTCCTTTATAAAAATAGCTTTTTAAAAAATGAGTTTTTGTTTTTATATACATTTAGAAGCTTTAACTCATTGATTTTGAGGATAACTTGAAGTTCTAAGGTACCCTTTTTAAAAATATCATATATGTTCATCAAGGATACAGTGACCCTTCATAAGCCTTTGTACTATAGTTCTTTTGGGTATTTCTGACCAAAATGGCCTGTCTTGAGCAACAATCACTAACATTTTTTCTTATTTTTTTGTTATTTTTCTTGATGAGCCCAATATTAGTATTTTTGACCAGTTTAATAAATAAGGAAGAATTGAAAGAATGACTCAAGGAACTGAATAAAATAGCCTAGCATCTTCTTCTGTACTATATAGTCTGTTGTCTTGGTAAGGATTAGGGTTTAATATAGAAAGTACCAAAACATTTTGTCTCTGATTTTTCCATTTTACATATGCTTTTCTAAAATCAAAACAAAGCAGACTCCAGATGGCATTCTTTTTTACTTCTAAAGGAGATTTTTGAAAGATTATTTTAACACAAGTTATGGTAGCACTTTTCAGAGTTTGCACTGAGGTATTTCTTTTGCATGATGTACTTAAATGAGTGTTGTGATTCCTTTGTGGATAGTTGTCGTAATAGACATTTCTGTTGCTATTTCCTCAGTTCTAGGCTCTTTGCTGACAATGTTTTTCTATAATATGTGGAATAAAAAGTTGAACAAACCCCAAGAAAAATGAAAGGTTGTCAAAAATAAAAGAGGTATACTAAATTATTTTCTGTTAAGGAAAAGGAATGAACAAGCTTATAACTTATATTTTACTTTTCAAAAGGTTTGACCCCAAGAAAGTACAGCCAACCATAGAACATAGAAATGATATGATGGTGACAAAGGAATTATAATAAACCTGGTGTTTTCTTTTCCATTGTTGAACTTTTCACTTCAATATTTTTTTATTTTCTTGTTTTTTATCTTAAAGCTTAAAAGGCCTGAAAACATTTTTACTTAGTTGTCTAAATATGTATTATTTTGTATCAAGATGATCCAATATAAAGAAGATTCATTTGAGGAGCTAGAGATAGCCTTTTGGCCTGATTTTTCCACATGTGACTTTATGACATATATTGTCTTTTCTAAGATCTAAAATAATCTTTTTCTTAAAATACCAGTAAATCTTAAGGATGTAGTAATAATCACAAATTTACCCCATGAGTAGAGTTTATATACGTATTTTCCTTTTATTGGCTCTTAAACCAGCATGTTTGGTTTGTGAGTGTGTTTTTCTTTTTTTGAAAAAACCTTTGCAGTTCACCTTTTAAGGGAGATAACTCAACCTGAAAGAGAGAAGGCGAGGAATGTCCATCAGTCTAACTCCCTGAAGTTCTCAGCACATTTGGAAGACTCAACATGTTGTCAGTGGAATGTCTGTCCTTTGCAAAGCCAGTTTGCTCTAAACAGACTAACCTGGGCAGAACTTGCTCGAATCTGCCATTTTTAACATCAGTATTAAATGGGGCTGTTCGCCTGAATGGAAAACAGTTTGTGGGGAGGGTCTTTGCCTTTTGGGAAATTATTAATAGTTGCTCAATCCATGAAATGTAAAATGTATCTGTTTTGTACTCTTTGACAAGGCAGTTTTTCCCCCTCTAGACTAGGCCTTGTAGACTTCTTAGCAAAGTCCTTTACTTTGCTTGATAATGATGCGATATTGATATCTTCTTTGGATTATCTTATTTAAAACTTGGGGCAGATCCCATTCCAATAAATGTGTAGGTGATGTATCTTTCAGAAGGAGATTCTTCCTGTGGATTGGGTTTTCTGATTGGTTGTCAAAGCTTTTCTTGTTTCCACTTAAGTAGACATTTGCTTCTACATTAACTATACTGAATACTGCCCTGTCATGTTGGCTAGTCATCCTTTGGCATTACTGCATCCATTATTTGGGCTTTTAGAACTGTTAGGCCCCTTTGATGAGCAAGATAAATTTAAGTTCATCTCTAAATCCTTTAATTTTAATACAATAACATTTTTGTCTTTTTGTTTCTAGTTATTTATAGCACAAAATTATATAGATTTTTCAAGTATATTGAAAACAGAGATGTGGCCAAGTCAGTTTTGAAGGAGAGGGGTCTTAAGAAGATTAGATTGGGAATAGAAGGTAAGACATTTTCATTATTTTCTATTAATTTTCTTTTGAAAACAAAAAGGTTAAAAACAATTGGATCTTATTTAGAATACAGTTGGAATACTTTGAGAAAAACTCTGACAAATGATTAGCACATGCTTATGCAGTAGACCTATAAATAACAAAAATAAACTGCACTTAGAAGACAGATAAAAGGCCATTAGAAATTGTTATTCCATAAGATTCTCTAGTGATAGAGATATGTATTTGTCTTTTTCTGCCCTAGTTTGCCCTAATTCATTTTTGACAAAGCCCATGTGGTGTGTGTAGACATGAATATATGTACATTCCCATAGGATTGGCAGGACTCTTTGCATAGTTGTGGTCATTGAAGCTCAATAGAATTAAAAATTACTTCCTGAAAATTCATGTAACAGCAGCACTACTAATAGCTTACTTAGGTCTTAAAGTATAATAATAGCTTATTTTCAAGGTAAAAACAAATTATGAAATTTCTTTCATCTTATGTAAATGCATAGAGTTTTAGATAGCTTACTTTATGAATTAAAAGAATTTTTCTGCAATGTTTTATCAGATGCCTCTTTTATTTTAAAATACGCTTAAGAAGAACAAAGTGTCTTAATTGATATAGCATGACAATGTAAAGAGTAAAGGCTCTGGAGCCAGATTACTTATGTTCAAATCCTGTGACTTAATAGCTGTGTGACCTTGGCCAAGGCACTTAAAAATTCTGTGCCTCAGTTTCTTTCCTCTAAAATGAGAGCATTAATGAGTACTTTATAAGGTTTTCGTAAGGATAGAATGAATTAATACGTGAAAAACACTTAAAACACTGCCTAGTACATAGTAAATTCGCAGTATATGTTTGTGATGGTGATAATGAAGATAATAGTGTTGATCATTGACCTACCTGGTTGAACTGCTGGAGAATAGTAATGGGCTGCTGAGATACATAGGAAGAATAACCAGAAACAGGATTTTTGTGTGGGAAGGGCCAGAGACTTTGGGCTTAAAAAGCAGTGGAATTGCTGATATATGAAGCATTGGTCTAGTGCCCTAGTCCATTACTTTGTAAACAGTGAGATTTAGCTACTTGGTCTTAGAGCTAGAGAGAAGGCACTGGGAGCTACTTTAGATTGGGAGGACAGGGAAGGCCTCTGAGGAGAAGACACTGAAGGGGAGGCCTGGTGACAAAAATGGCTCTAGAAGGAGAAAATAGCAAGTGCAAAAGTGTTGAGGTAGTAATGAGCTTACTATATTTGTGGTACAGAAAACATACATATGTCTGGTATAATAAATGAGGAGGAGATTTGAAGAGTTATAGTTGGTCTGAGAATTAGTAGAAGAGATAAAGTAGGATCAGAAGATGCAGGGTCTTATAGGCCATGGTAAGGAGTATACTGACCAAGTGTCTTAAGGTAAGTCCCTCAGCCTTTCTGAGCATCAGTTTCCTTTATCTTGGTAGTGAGTATAATACTCTGTATATCTTAGAGGATAGTTGTGATAATCAAATATTATTTACTAGAAATTCCTTCTTTCCCACTCTACTTCCTCTTTCTTTTCATGGCAACTATTATTCATCCTTCAAATCCTCTGAAACCTTCTTGGAACTTCTGTGAAATTGTTCCTAAGAATAGTTTGCTATAATATACTCGGTTCAGTCATAGACTGTGAGCTCCTTGAGAGAAGTCAAGTTGCATATTGTATACCTAACATGTGGCCTCGTTCCTAGGTATAGGTGGTTCTCAAATAGTAAATAAAAGATTTATGGAAAAGCTATATGTAAATTAGTTACTGAAAGTGAGGACTTCTTTCTCTGTCACAGGGAGAAAATAGCAGTGCTCTAAAGCATTGAGCCATAACTCTTAAATGAATTTTCATATAATTGTAAGGACCTAGTAACAAGTACTATTTACTATTAACCTCATATAAAATTCATTTAAAATAGTACACTATATGTGTGTGTATATATTATGTAACATATATATCTGTGTATATATATATCTGATATATATGATATTTCACTCCTTAATATTTTAATATGCAGCTCTAAAAAATATTTTAACATACCCTACAAAATTAAGAATACTTTATTTGAATCAATCCACATTAAAATTTCTCAGTAGTCTCCCCAAATTTCCTTTTAGCTGTTTTCTCTAAACCAAGATTCAGTCTAGGACCACATCTTATAACTAACTGCTTGTTTTGTCAAATTTCTCAATCTAGAGTAGTTATTTATGATATTGTCCTATTGAAGAGTCTGGGCCAGTTGTCTTGTAGAAGGTCCCACTTCTGGATTTGCCCTATTATTTCCTTGGTGTGTCCTTCAGTTTAGTAATTTCTGTGAACTGTAAGTTAGATTAAAGGCTTAGTCCGTGTATTAGTCCTTTTTCTCACTGCTATAAAGAACTATCTGAAAGTGGGTCATTATGAAGAAAAGAGGTTTATTTGATGCACACTTCTGCAGGCTTACCAGGAAGCATGACTGGGAGGCCTCAGGAAACTTACAATCATGGCAGAAGGCGAAAAGGAAGCAAGGACCTTCTTCACATGGTGGCAGGAGAGAGTGAAGAGGGAACTGCCACATACTTTTAAACCATCAGATCTCATGAGAACTCACTATCACAAGAACAGCAGGGTGGAAACTGCTGCCATGGTTCAAACACCTCCCACTAGGCCCTTCTGACACGTTGGGATTACAATTTGTAATGAGATTTGGGTGGGAACACAGAGCCAAACCTATCTGTGGGTGACAACCTGATCTCTCTATTATAAGATTAAGCTGTTCCTTTGTGCGGTATTTTGACACTAAGAATGTTCAGCTCCCTGCTAATCATTACCTAAAGGTTTTAAATACTAGTTGATAATTTTTGCCTGAATTTGTAATTTCATTAAAGATTGCAAAATGATAATTTTCTAATTTATCATTCCTTTTACATTTATCAGCTGGTATTTTGTAAAACAGAGCTTTCCTCTACCTAATGGGGTTATTTGGTTAGCTATCACTGTCTCTGTTTTTAAAGAGAAAGAAGCTAAAGCTTAAAAGGTTAAATACTTATTGAAGTTTTTTTGGGAATAAATAGCAGAGCCAGGTCTTGAATCCAAGTCTCTGTGATTTGAGTCTGTGAGTGGTTTTGAAATATTATTTTAAGTGGAAATTTTTAAAATTTAAAATTTTAAATTATTTGCCTGTGTACTACAATCTGTGATATTGGGCTTGACTTTGGCAGGACGGTAACTAACCAGGCTCTTCTATTCTTTTTTTCAATAACTGCTTCTATGTACTGAAGCACTCTTTCCTTTCTCAACTAATATGTACACCAATAACCGTATTTTCTCATCAAGTCTATTACTTTTTCCTCTTGAAAAAATAAGTAGAATAGTCATAACCCCGGCAGAAGTGTTGAGACTTTCTTGGGATGAAAGAAAAAAAAATGAGATTTCCAAGGTAGCCATTTTGTTACTATCCTCCCCCACCATTGCTGTGCCCCAGCCATACCAATCCCAAGTCCCTTAAAAGTAGTTTATTAGAATATTAAATGTGTTGACTTTTATGGGAGCTAGATTGGGTTGGTGTACAAGAGACATGAGGAGGACCAGAGAGAACTTGGATGTGTGAGAAAAGATGATGAAATATAAGGCCGGAAGTATTCAAAAAATAATTTTAGTTCTGTGGTCCCATATTCATATTGAGAGACTGCTATAGTCAGGCCTCTTCTACTTAATTTTAAGCAGGCTTTTTGGGTTTATTGGTGTTGTTAAACACAAACGTGTCATGAGAAAGCACAAATAATTCTTACCTAAATCATTCTTCACACCACAATTCCACCAAAAGGCACGTCTTTGGAGTTTTTCCATTTTGTTTCACTTATCCTTTAATGGAACAGCATCTCTCAACCTCCTAGGGCTGGGTTCTTAAGGCAGTTTAGGATTACTGCTACCCCATCTAGCAGACCATATTGGATGTGGCCTTACTCCCATCATTAGTCCTTGTTCTGAACTCAGTGGAAAGCTCTCTTCTATCAGAGTAATTGGCCGAGACTTAGAAAAGAACCAGAAGTTTAAGATTACAAACTCTAAAATAATTGTGGAATTACAGTTCCCATAGAATACAGGAAATGCGAGACTAAGTAATGAAGTCTTTAATTGGATGGGATTGTGAATTATTCTACCCTCCACATCCTGGGCAGGAATGGCAAGACAGTAGGACTGGCTCTTATCCCTGAAAGTTCACCTATATACAGAACCTCTGATTTCCCAATTCCATGTTTCTGGAACTGCATACAAAATTTTGTTCTCTGCAAGATTTAAACAAACTAAGCTTAAAAAAATCTGAGCTTCTCTTTTAATAAAGAGTATAATTTACTCTTATTAAAGAGTAGAATCTACTCATGGCTGTCCTCCATTTGACCATAATCTGTCTTCTAATGTTACCTCCAGCTGTTTCCCAGTACACTTTTTGTTCCAGTCATACATGTGTTAGGGTCTCCTAAACCATCTTCTGTGTTCCTGCCTCTGTAGCTTACCTGATGCCATTCTCTCCTTAGAATGATACTCTCTCTGCCTACCTTGTGCTCCCCTTGTTCTTGCCCATCCCAGTCTTGCTCATCCATTAAGATTAAGGAAGGCCTTCAAGAAGCTTTTTCTATTTTAGTCCATTGGAATCTCATTCATCTTCTGAATTCTTTACGCTTCCACTATTGCTCTAACACTTTATCTTATGTACATATATTTTGTTTGGAATATTCTTTGACTTTATGAACAATTTAATCACTCTCAGCAGACCGTAAACACCTTTAAGGTAGCACTCTGGCATTACAATTCTGTGATGCAGTAACTGCTAAACCCTTAACTGTTGACTGAATAGGTTGGTAAATCTGCAAGTCAGGGGCAGGCTCTATCTATCTATCTATCTGTCTATCTATTTATCTATCTATCTATCTATCATCTATCTATCTTATCTATCAGAAGGAGTCTCGCTCTGTCACCAGGCTGGAATGCAGTAGTGCAACCTCGGCTCTCTGCAGCCTCTGCCTCCTGGGTTCAAGTGATTCTCCTGCCTCAGCCTCCTGAGTAGCTGGGACTACAGGCGCACGCCACCACACCCAGCTAATTTTTATATTTTTAGTAGAGATGGGGTTCACCATGTTGGCCAGGATGGACTCGATCTCTTGACTTCATGATCCGCCTGCCTTGGCCTCCCAAAGAGCTTTTACTTTATTTTTAAAGGAAAAAATGTTCTGAGTAAGATGGATATTGGAAGAGGTTATTACTTGTAACTGGCATGTCCTGGTAGTTCATTCACTCTTTGCTCAAATATTTGCTTAGCACCTGCCGTCTATCAGGTACTGTGCTAGGCACTGAGGATACACCAACAAAGACACTGTCTTTGCCATATAGGAACTCATTATTTAGGTCAGAGAGTCAGACATACAAAAAGGTAATTACAGTTGGGTTCTGTTATGTATTGTTAACATATGGGAGTGCTATGGAACATAAGAAGTGAATGATTAACTGTGTGGAGAATCTTAATGTTTTTGCCAGGGATAAAAGAAGGTGGAGTTCAGGGGTAAGGAGGCTGAGAGGGAACAGGCAGCAGAACAATTTGTGTAAAAGTATGTTTCGGGAAAGCTTAATATGGCAGGTGTATTTAAGAACTCTAGAGTTAGAGTGTAGTATGATAATAGATGACAGTAAGTAGATTGGAACCAGGTTGTAAAAAAGCCTTGTATAATATTCTAAAGAGTACAGACCTTCCCATTAAGCATGAGGAAACCATTGGTAGTTTTTAAGCAAGGATTGTAATATGATTACATTTGTCTAGAGTGGTGATTTTGTGTGGAGGACAGAATACAAGGAGATGGGAATTCTAAAGTCTTTCTAATAGTCCAGGAGGAATCAAGGACAAGGGAATGGAGATGGAGACCTTTCTGATGTCTGGTGCTGCCTTCAGAGGCAATTGACCAAAAGTATGAAATAAAGACATTCTACAGATTTTTAGATTTTTAGCTTTGTTCACCCGCTGCACCTATCTCACCCCCACCACATACACACATACTCCACACATGGCTATTTGTACTAGCTACCAATGATGCCTACATGCATTCCCTATGCAATAATCAGTAATTGATCCCCTACTATGTGAGACCATTCTGTTTTTTCTAACTATGGTCTAACTTTGGCCTATGGGCCAAAATCAGCTCCTTGCCTGTTTTTTATAAAGTTTTATTGAAACATACACATGTGGCTGGGCACAGTGGCTCACGCCTGTAATTCCAGCACTTTGTGAAGCCGAGGATCACTGGAGGTCTGGAGTTTGAGATCAGCCTGGCCAACATGGTGAAACCCCATCTCTACCAACAATACAAAAATTAGCTGTGGTGTGGTGGCAGGCGCCTGTAATCCCAGCTACTCTAGAGGCTGTGGCAGGAGAATCTCTTGAACCTGGAAGACAGAAGTTGCAGTGAGCCAAGATAGCACCACTGCATTCCAGCCTGGGTGACAGAGACTCCATCTCCAAAAAAAGAAAAACATACACATGCTCATTTATATACATATTCTCTGTGGCTGATTTCACTTTACAGTGGCAGAGTGAAGTAGTTCTAGTAGAAACCATGTGGCCTACAAGCCTGAAGTATTTACTCTGGCCCTTTACAGAAAATGTTTGCCAATCCCTGGTCCAAACTAGTTAATTCTTACTAGAAGAAAGAAGGGAAGGTGTCTGTAATAGTTTCTTAAGGACAGTTTATCTTTGGAGAAATAGCCTTACTAGTAAATAATTTTTTGTTTTTTTGTTTTTTTTCAAATCTAGGGTTGTCCTTCCTTTTAAGTGACTATGTTCCAAAAGAGGAAGGTAATATTAGGTATTATTAATCAGGGAACGCTGCTTTGGAAATGTGACTGTAAATTGAATGCTTGGTTTTTGGGAGTAGTAATGTTAAAAATGATATGGGAGGTTAAAATGTTGGCCTTGCTGATCTAGATGCAGAAGTATCAAGAACCACCTGGAGAGCTGTACAGCTTTTTCTTTTAATGAAAAAGGGAAGAAAAAAGAGCAATATAAAGATGAGATGTAGGTTTAAGGAAACTAGAAGGCTAATGTGTGGCATAATTTGCAGGCCTGTAGGCCAGGTAATCCTGTGACGAGAATATAAGGATACATAGCTAGAGGCCAGCGCGGTGGCTCGCACCTGTAATCCCAACACTTTGGGAGGCCGAGGTGGATCACTTGAGGTCAGGAGTTCGAGACCAGCCTGGGCAACATGGTGAAACTCCCTCTCTACTAAAAATACAAAAATTAGCTGGGCATGGTGGTACATGCCTGTAATCCCCGCTACTCTGGAGGCTGAGGCAGGACAATTGCTTGAACCCGGGAGGCAGAGGTTGCAGTAAGCCAAGATTGCACCATGGCACTCCAGCCTGGGTGACAAAGTGAGACTCCATGTCAAAAAAAAAAAAAAAAAAGATACATAGCTAGAGACCAAGATCTGCTCCATACTATTGTACTGAGGACTCATCTCCAACATACTCCTACTTTAAGAATTTTTTTTTTTGATGGTGGGTATATTGAGTAATTGAAAGAATGATAGATTTTGTGAATTACATCAGTAGGGTTTTCATCTCTGGCTCATGAACTGATGAGTAGGTGGATGGAATATTGTTTTCACTTCTTTGTTTTAATTTCTCTTTCTTTAGGATCTATAGCACAAAAGCTTTCTAAGGCAAAATTGGGTGAAAGGTCTGTGTGTGTTTCCTCGGTTTTTAAAATCTTTCTTTCTTTCAGGTTATCCTACCTACAAAGAAAAAGTAAAGAAAAGGCCTGGAGGCCGCCCAGAAGTGATCTACAACTATGTCCAAAGGCCCTTTATTCGAATGTCCTGGGAGAAGGAAGAAGGAAAGAGTCGGCATGTGGACTTTCAGTGTGTAAAGAGTAAATCTATCACCAATCTTGCAGCAGCTGCAGCAGACATTCCCCAGGACCAGCTGGTGGTCATGCACCCAACTCCGCAAGTGGATGAGCTGGATATTCTCCCTATCCATCCCCCTTCTGGCAACAGTGACCTCGATCCTGATGCACAGAATCCAATGCTGTGATGCTGATTTTCCTTGAAACCATAGCATGCTACTCTTCACAGTGACGTTGTACTCTCCTCATTCTGCACTGCAAGGCCACTGTTCTTCATTGTGAGATGCACATAACAATGTTTAGGATATTGCAGTGTAGGCTTTTTTAAAGACCAAAGGTAGCTGAATGGTTTTTTAAAAAATGAGTACAACTCTAGCATTTTGAAGTTCCAGTTATATAAATGTATTTGTTTACCAGTAGGTTTGTGAAATTGGTTCTTTGTATGGGGGACGGTCCTTTTTCACACATCTAGGTCTTTTCAAAAGTGGTGGAAATTGGCAGCTGGAGTACTTTCAGTTTGGATTGATAGCCATCACACCCCAGATAAAATGCAGAGTATTCTATAGTTGCACTTTATAAATGGTGGTTAAATGGAAATGTTCAAGCCATTTTATAGTTGTGATACACAATATAATTTAAGTGCTTCTGTCAAAGTATTCCTCCAGTAAAAATTGTGTAGTTTGCTGCCCGTGATGAGCAAAAAGTATTTATCTTGGGTTTATCTGAATGATCAGGATGAGATTTAATGCCCGTATCTTACCAGTGCAGTTATCTCCAGGGCCGGTTCACCCTTTAGAGTGAGTCACATGCAGGGAGTGTGAAAGTCAGAGGTGGTTTATTATCCAGTCTGCCTTACCCTTAATCTGTTCACAGATATTTATTTACTAATGCTTTTTTTTTCTTAAGAGTTATGGGATAGGAAAATGAAGTGTTTGCTCTTCATTTACTAAATGATTGTAAACTTGAGTTTTTCATCAAAATAAAATTCCATTGTTTTAATGTTTCTGACCAAATTTATAACCACGTTGACTAGATTTTTAGTCTCATAATTTCCCATCCCCTGGTATAAGTATTATTAGAAATAGTAGCTCAAGGAACTTTAACTTATTATATGTGTGATGAGGCATTTAAATTCCCTACTAATTATAAAATATACTATAAATCAAAACAATATTAGAGCTGAAAAGAGTATTTTCTAGTCCAACTTGATATGAAGGGCAAAATGACTTTACTAGTTCATATAGTCACCCTAAGTTTCAGAGCCAGTTTCTCATACTAGTTCAGTGCTTTTTCCATGATACCATGCTACTTTGCTTAGCAAATTATTTATGCAAATGTTATTCTAAATATTCTGTGGTCCAATTCAAGAAGGAATCAAATATTTAGGTGCCTTAGGACTGGGGTCACTTACTATATAACTGAAGTAGTATTAGAAAGGTGCAGCATTAGAAAAGCCAATGTGTTAAATATAATCTTGAATTTATAATTTCAGAGGATTCGATGTTTGCGTGTAAGCAGTAACATCTTTGCTCTCACATAAATTAAAATTGCAACAATTTAGAAATGAACTATTTTAACAACACAGCTAAGCTAGTAGCATGGGGAAATTATGCAAGCCCAGAATTGCTATGAAGGCCAGAAAAGCACCACAAATTTTACTGGCGTAGATCATCCTTGAACATCCACTGTAGAAACTCATAATCCAGCCCTGCAACACATAGGATTTTTTTTTTCTAATTATTTGAAGTGTGAACAGTATTTATAGAACAAGGGAAACATTTATTAAAAATATTTAACTGTCTAGTACGTTATACTTTAACCCATATTTATAGTAAAGGATTCTTACAAGGAAGAATAAACGGCTTTATGATACAATTAGTATAAGAAATATCCACATGGGGGACTTCTTTGTAGTGTAAAAACACCATACATCTGAAATGACCATTTGCATATAAAAGCTACCAATGATGCTTCTGTGCACAATGATTAAAAAATTCAACACAAACAGAATCCAAAATATACAATTAATGCAAGCTATCCACAGCTAGCCCAATAATCAATGATGAGGAAACACTGGAGCAGGCTTAGTTCCACTTTGTCTGAAGTTACACATAGTAAGATTGACTTGTATCAATGGCTCTGAGATGGCTTTTATGAAGTCAGTACATAAAAGCTATTCTCTCCTTATCCAGTAAGCTTCACAGACTGTAAAACTCCACCAGTAATGCACTTTGATACTATAGCTGTTGCCAAAGCAACATGTAGGGTTTACAGTGGCCATGGCAAGTCACTAAAGTCAACAGGGCCACCCAGTCCAGCATCTGCTTCCAAGAGGCTCATGATGACAGCCATTGCTGCCTCATCATTACTGGGACTACTTGATCCTTGGTCGTTGTCAATCATGTCTATACCTATGTGGGGGTTCTCACCTGTGGGAGGAGATAAAGACAGGTCAGTGATTTTTTTTTTTTAAAAGCGGATTAAGTAAGCAATTCCTAAGCACACTTTTAATAAGAAAGTTACATTTAATGGTAGAGTGAGAGGCTGCTTTTTGGGCTGCATGGCTATCTTTTTTTATATTGCTGTTTTTCAGAGGAAAGAACCAATTTTAAAAAAATACATAAGACATAAGTGGGGTTAAGCTGTGAAGAGACACAGCTCTAAGGAATCAAATGATCATTTTAGAAATAAGTAAAAAGTGCTTAAAATTTAATCTTAAAAATATTTGAGTTGAGCTTATTTTAATATTCTGATATAACCAGTTAAGAGGAGTTACAAAAAGAAAGGCAAATAGGAAGGGAGAGTTTAGGGGAAAAAAACAGATCTAGAAAGACAAGTAGAGAAAAAGATGGATGTGATGGGAAAAGCAAACTCTTTTCACTTAATGACTTTTAGTACCTTCTGATATGCTTACTAATCACCCTTCTAGGCATTATCTCTGAACCTTCATTAGCCGCCTCTCTGAAGAGATTATGCCCCACATGGGAGAAAGCCTATGTCTAGGTAGTTGTAGCCTCCTCTTGAGTTCCAGGCACAAATTTGGACCTCCACCAAAACCCAAACACTGAAGTCAACTTTTTAGAGAGTTAAACAAATTTTAAACTTTTATTCTGTTCCTATCAAATTTATCTAGGATTAGCTTGTTTCATACAGTTCAGTTCTTAAAACTATGTCAGATGTTTTGCAAGCTCATTGCAATGGAAATGAATAATAATGCCACTTACCAAGAATAGAAGAACTATCAGAATATGGATAACCTGGGTTCTCCTGAGCCTGGCCTGATAGTAGGCCACTGGAAGGAATGTCTGGAGTCCCTCCATTTAAAATCTACAAACAAAAAGAGGGAAGTGTAAAGTTTGAATCAGTATTATGAGCAATGCCAAAAGGAAAATGAAGCATGTTGGAAATGCATGGGGTGGGGGTGGGGAGAAGCTTCAAATGGCTTCAGTTTTCTGTTGGATGATTTCAAACAAGGAACTGTTAGACATGGTCATAGTAAGAAAAAAACCTCTCCCCCAAACTGTTCTTTTCTCTTCATTTTAGTGAGCTCACAGAGGCAACTTAGAGGCTGAATAAAATCCCAAGAGCATTCAACTGCCTGGAATCATGATGCCTACATATTTCTTTAGGACCAATGCCTAAATTTCAATGAGCCCAGCTAGGTATTTCCCCTATAAGGGAATAAAACATAGTGACAGATATTTCTGAAAAAGAAATAAGTGGAGTTAACAAACTGTGAAGAGACACAGCTCTAAGGAGTCAAATGAACAAAACACTTAAAAGTAAATCTCTTATACTACAGGTGCCAACTTCAGTAACCTGTGGTTTAAGTTCTTAAGACAGGCCACTGGGGAGGATTATTACTGCTACTCAGTAGGAGAATTCTAATTCTGTCTCAAAATCTCCCCCACTCACCCCAGCTGCCTTCCCCTGGCTGAGTATCAAAGAAGAGCATTCTTTGAGACCTATCTGGATATACATGAGGAAACAGTTTGGTAGCTACTGCTTTCAGGAGCAGCAGGGATTTCAGGCCTTGCCAGTAGGTGGCATTATAACTTACTTTATTTCCACAGCAATGTTTTGGTCTAGGGACCCTTTTACACTCTTAAAAAAATTATTGAGGACTCCAAAGAACTTTAGCTTATGTAGGCTGTATTTATCAATATTTACTGTATTTGAAATTAAAACTAATAGATTTCTTAAATGTAAGAAACCCACTATATGTCGACATAAATAATGAATAGTATTTTAATGAAAAATAACTACTTTCCAAAAAATAACAAAAAATTATCAAGAAGGGTATTATTTTACATTTTTGCAAATCTAATGTGTGGCTTAATAATTTTCAACTGGATTCTCATATATGTTTTTCCATTCAGTCTATTTAGATACGTCTTGTGATTCAAGTATATGAAGGAAATCCGACCTCCCACAGATAAGTAGTTGGAAAAGGGAGGCATATTTTAATAGACTTTTCAAATAATTGTATTCTTTTTTGATACCACTTCAAAACTTGACACGTAGAAGTTTCTTAAAGGTGAGTTGCAAAGTGGAATCTGAAACCGTATCAATGAATTTTTTGTACTCTTTTATATCTTTGCACTTAGGATAGATCTTTTACCCTTACATGATTTTGAAATATCTTGCATCGTTTAGTTAGAAAATATTGGTTCATTGAATTATGCATATCTTCTATATGTTGACACATTTCATTATACAGCATCAAAATACCACCATTGTTAATACTTCCTATCTCATCAACAACATTTTTTAAGTTTTAGGAAGATCTCAAGGTCAAAGTAGCAGATACAAGTTTTCTAAAAATTCCAATTTTTGCTTGAAAGCTCACATTTTATCATTGGCAACAAACGTTGTCAGTCATTTTCCTTGAAGTGATAGGTTCACTTCGTTCATTTCCAAAAAAATGTATTCTAAATACACAAAACTGAATGACCATATACAATAAAAATGGTGTCCAATGAAAATAGCAGCTAGTTCAACTCACAACTTAATCACACAAGTAGTTTTTGAGACAAACATCATACTTTGGTATGCAGCACAAGTTCTTTGTGTGTACTTCTCATTTTGTCACAGAGCATTAAAAAGATATGTACTTGAGAATTTTATAAAAGTAATGATGGACATTTTCCCTCCCTCCTTCCCTCCTTGACAGGGTCTCACTCTGGTTGCCCAGGCTGGAGTACAGTGGCACAATCTCAGCTCACTGCAGCCTCAACCTCCCAGGCTCAGGTGATTCTCCCACCTCAGTCCCCCGAGTAGCTGGGATTACAGGTACACCACCACACCTGGATAATTTTTTGTATTTTTTAGTAGAGATGGGATTTCTCTATGTTGCCCAGACTTGCCTCGAACCGTTGGACTCAGTTTGCCTGCCTCAGCTTCCCAGAGTGCTGAGATTACAGGGGTGAATTGCTGCACCTAGCCACGATGGACAATCTTAAATGAAACTGGCTTTAAACTTTTTTTTTTTTTTTTTTTTTAATCGCAAGTGTGTGGTGGTGAAGAATACAGTGACTACTAGTATAGTTTGGTGCCACTTGTCTGATTTTGGTAAAATGCCAGCAGTTTTACCCAACAGTGCTTTTAGCATGAATAGTGCACATTATCAATACAGTGAAAAAATTAATGTCTTAACATTATTAAGAAAATAGCTTTAACGTTGCAGACCCTTAAAAGGATCTTGTGCCCCCTCTTTCTGGAAAAAGACTGCAGGTGACATTTGTAGAAGTGCTGCTTTATCTGAATTTTCCTTAGTGCTTCTGGATGTCTGTACTCTCCTGGGACCTACAGAGGCTCACTTAGGCTTCCTTTTTAGCTTGATCCTGACTGAAACAACTGCAGGCAAAATGGTTCATTTTTGGACCTTCCAAATTTGAAAGTGACTGAAAAGGGCTGGGTACGGTGCACCATTTAATACTGCTGTCAGTTTTAACTGTCTTGTTTAAGCTGCTTTTCTTGTAAGTTCTGCTGCCCAGGATTCATCTCATGAGAA